AAACTAAGATGTTTTTGTTTTCATGAACACACTGTCCTTACGCAGGCACCCATTGTTAACCAGCTATTTAAACATTTGAGGTCACAAATAGGCATCAAATTGGTGTGAAATTGTTTAGGTACAGTACCGGTACTAAGGGATTAGGTATTTTGGACCTGTACCTAATCAATTTTTCCGGTACAGTATCGGTACTGCGTACCGGTACACAGCTCTAGTGTAAATGGTATACTTAGTCTAGTAGGCTGTACGAATGATTCTTTCGGTAACAAATGTAATTAAGAAATCTTAGATAACTTTTTTTTTCAGAATTCAATACTTAGCCGTACCTTGCAGTTTGCCCTATATTCCGCCAATGCGGACCGCCACATTGGCATACTGGGTTTACCTTGGCACACGTCTATCCGCAGGGGAGTACAACTTTACCTCGCCTTTTCCTGTTCAGGTTTATTGGCAAAACCCTAAAGTAGCTGAACATTGGCACACAGCCTCCCTTTTAGGCCACACATATCTGTCAAAACGTAATATATTATTCACTTACTTCTCTGTATTTGTCTACCACTTGTAACGGTCACGGCAACTAAAAGGTTTACGCTAGGGTGAACACACTGTGAGTTTATAAATGACGATATGGTTTAAAGTACTGCGCGGTAGCTGCATACATCATGTTGCCTGTGGGGAGAGATATCTCTTCACGCTACGGCATCTATCCGTCAAAACGTCCTGTCCTCTTTGGGAGGACTCACTAGTAAAAGCAGGTGTGATTAGGCCACACCAATTAATTTTTATGGATGACGTCCACGCGCGCATTAATTTTGGCAATAAAAAAAAACTGTCGTACTGTCGTCCTGAGTTGCATCGAAAGGGTAGGTATGGAAGCTTTGAAGGGTCTTATCGCTAACAATTAAATAAACATACCCTCCAGAGGTTGAATGGGCATATTGTTAGCTTCTGCTGATTTTACCGTCTTTCTCCCAGCTTTCTTTGGAAGGCAGCGCTCTACCTCTCTAATCTCTGCATGTATATAGTAGCTACGGATGCTCGGAGGGGCATGTGGTCATGTCGGCCACTGTTAGATAAACAAAGCATCGGATTGTGGAGGAGAGTTTGCACACAAGGGAGGCAAACACACTCGTAACCTTGACCAAGAATGGAATGACATAATGGTGGAATCAAAACATCAGCCTCCAGATCGCCCCCCCCCCCCTTCCACCCAAGAAAATATCGGTGCACACACACTTATAGCAGCCCCCTACGTTTCAAATCAAGGCCTCCACGACCAAGCAATTTTCTGAGTGTATTTGCGAAAACGTGATACGTGTCAAGTTGTAGCTTATAAGTTATCCTTGTCGCCACTGCATGTCCTTCAAAAAGGTCACAGCATGCAACATTCTGGCAGACTTATTTTCTGCCACCAGTGCGTGACCAACATCTACTGTTAATGTTGACATTTGGGCAGGATATATGATTGTTTTACTAGTGTATTCAAAGTAAATATCAAATCACTGACTCAAGTTTGTAATGGCGGTGATCTAATTATTATCACACAGAAATGCCGACATCTCGCGAAATCCCGCGAGAATTGTGTTCTGGCGCGATAAGGATATACCCATCGTACTGAGATAAATTTGTGTTTGACTAGCTATAGCGTAAAATAAATATTAATATCACTGACGAAAAGTCGGGCAAAACGTTTGTAATGTGGGCTCTATTTTGTCACACAGAAATGCCAACATCTCGCGAAATCCCGCGAGAATTGGCTTCTGGCGCGATAAGAACATACCCATCGTACTGAGATAAATTTGTGTTTGACTAGCTATAGCATAAAATAAATATTAATACCACTGACTAATTTGACTAAAAACTATCACTGACTAGTTTGTAATGTCTATTTTATCACAGAGAGAAATACCAACATCTCGCGAAATCCCGCGAGAATTGGCTTGTGGCGCGATAAGGACATACCCATCGTACTGAGATAAATTTGTGCCCCAGTCTAATTTGTGCTCGGTAGTTAGCTCGTTTATCATCCTGTGACATTGGGACATTCCATTTCGACAGTTCGGGCGCCGGCAACTATTTGGCAAGGACCTAAGAGTGCTTGGACTGCAAACGGTAGCAAACATGTGGAAAGTTTGAAGCTGTGGGTGTCAGCAAATGATTAAAAAAAGCGCATTTAGGCCATTTGGGTCAAAAGAAAGAAATATTGTAAAAAATTTCACCAAAAAACCCCCTCTCCATTGACAATGGAACAATCCTAAGTAGTGTCTCGAGATTAGCTTTGATAAGGTATACGCATGCGCAATGATGAAGTCGACCCTACAGACAGTACTCCAGATTTCCAGCGAGATTTCCAAACATTCAGATCGAAAATAAAAATTCCAAACGTGCGTTCAATCTTTGTAATTTGTTGCCATCAAGTTGTTTCTGATACTCATCTCCAAGCAGATGGAAGGATCCGGGTCTGTCGTGGTGTTTCACGTCTGTGTTTGGAACAGTTAGTACATATTTACAGCACGAAAATAGACATTTAAGCAAAGTTTCCGCAATTTGTAAAGAAGTATTAAAGGTGAGAAAATATTTCAGTAGACTTTACGACTTCGTAAAGGCAAATTCAGCCTTTCCGTCATCTTTCAATGCGCTTAAATACGACGTTAACATATTTCATATCTTAATGCTTCCTTTACAAATCCGTAAATATTTTCCTAGCTTTGGACTTTTTTTAGCGATTTAAAATCCACCGACAGGTAATTTTTACATCAGCTTGGAGATCACCTGTAAGGCATCCAATGCAATTTCAGGGTGGCAAAACATTTAGGATGAAAATGAAAACAACAACAACAAAAATTCTGAACGAGGAAATCTGTCTGAGATTGACATTTAAGGACATTTCTTAGCACATTTTCGTCTTTTTTTCTTATTACTTATTCCAACGACAAGCTATGAGATCGAGAGGAGTCCATTATATTTTTGTTACCACCAATAATTGACTAGAACCAGCCTACGATACAAAACAAGCAACCATTTTCCGTCTGCGACATCACATTTTTGCCTCACAGATATCAGTATGCTATGGAAAAGGGTTAATTCAACTTACTACATCAAAAAATGACAGTTTTACTGCCCTAAAACCGCTTTAAGTGTCTTTATTTTAATAATAACTAACAAAGCATTATTATCTCATCTTATCCATGTTATCGTAAGACGTAGTGACCTTTATTAACTAGAACTTGATACCAAAAGATATAATAGCATTCAACAAGACACGGTCGAAGTGACCCCATAATTTATTGCCCCATTAGAGTAATTAAGCCGTCTAGTTTGAAAACCCAATGAAAAGTTACATGCCATTTTGTACCTTTAGCGATGTGTGTACTGTTCTAAATGCCTCTTTTGTGTCCGACAATGTCTCTATCGCCGATAACAAGTGATAGACTGTTTACCCAAACCCTCACAAAGAAAACAAACCATTAAAAAAAACACAGGTCAGAGTCAACCTTTGATACTGTTTGACCAAAGTGACCTTCACAAGGTGTACAGTTCAAGCGATAATCAATTATTTTGTAAACGTGAAAAAAATCCAGGCGCCTGGTTGGGTTTTGCGTTATTTTGGGGGCTTTTTTTTCATCCCAACCCCCCAAAAATAAATTCCAGTCTCAAAAAGAAACCCCGATAAAAAAGCCTAAAAACAAACCAAAATAACTCAAAACCCAAACCTCTGCTTGGAGAGTAGGTGAAAGGCACCCAAAGCGCTTTCAGGGCTTGCAAACAACATCTTAATTTTCTGGTCCTATTTTGGCATACTTAATTATATCTGGGAGGAAAAAAAATCAAACCGGTTAGAAAACGGTTGCTTGTTTCGTATAATAATAGGCTGGTTTTTGGCTGTTTTAGAGGTGGTACCAAAAATAAAGGGGTTCCTCAAGAAGCTTATTTTGGGGGCTATATATTAAACGCTTCGAGTATGAAAACTGAAAAATCGAAATGATGACGAAGACGTGCTACGAACTGGCAGTAAATGTCAATATCAGACAGCTTTCCTCATCCAGAATATTTTTGTTGTTTTGCCGCTCTGAAATATTGCATTGGATGCCTTTAATAATATGAATCTTTATTGCATGTTCTTGCCCAGATGGGCTAAATGCACAATAAGATTAAAAAAAACTTGAGTATTGCATACTGGAACGCTATATATATATACTAATGCTAAGTGCTAGGAGTCTATACATTACAACAATACTATATACTACCTATCATCTATTGTTAGTTGCCCTTTCTTCCCTCTTTTTGAAACATTTGGAAACATAATTACATAGTTTGTCTGCTATACATTCGTTCTTGCATGACATCGTGTTTAAACGTATCCTGCTTTGAAATTTTCTATAATTTTCTAATCAGACAAGCCACTCCACCCCCTTACCAGGAGTGCCAGCAGACGGGAAGAGCTAACCCTACAATCGTACGGAAGCAGGCCGCACAACAAACCACCGACACCGCGCCATGTCATAACAACACACACCAGACGGACCAAAGTTCACCGTCAATACACCGCCCTTTTACAAGGTAAAGTCCAAATTAAAACACGATTATAGACTGCTAAACACACACAGTATCCGCGGTAACGTAACACTAGACTCCCCTCGCTGTCTCACTGTGTTTACCGTTTAAAATTTCACCCCATCACGGTACGATTGCGGGTTGTAAATTGGAGGAAAGTGCGAGATTTGAACACGCCAGACGAGCGTAGTTAGTGCCGGGGTGTTAAACAGCAAGACGCCGTCTGAAATGCATGTTACACCTGCTTGACAATGTGTACATGCACCGCAAGCCGTCTCTACTAGTAGAACGGCACGAGTGATTATACACAAAACACAACGCGAGCTTAGCGGATTTTAAAAGGTAGGGGAGTCTTTAAAAACAGGAGGAATTGAGACTAAAACATCACTGTTGACAGTACAAACTTGCGGGACGCACCAGCCTGCTCAAACATGTACACCACTCACCATGGTATGTTCTGCCCAACGCCCGGCGGTGGATCGGGCACACACAGACCGCAAGCAGTCAACACGAGCTCTCGGCGGAACGTCCTGTCGACATCGATACCCTCCGTGCGTTCCACTGGAAAGATTATTACTAGTAATTCCTCACAAGTTCTGTATCGTACACATTCAGCCGCCGGATGCTGGGGTCTACTGATTCACGGAGACTTCCTCTGACTTCAAGAGAAGACCTGACCGCACGGGCCCCTTTTACTCCCGTCCGGACACCCGAAAAAACGCGATGTGCTGATGTAATACAACCTGGCTCGTCTCAAAACTTCGATCTCCTGCGGGGACAGCAAGTATTTGTCTAAATGGTGTGCGCACGTGATTGGTCGTCCGGTCCCACTTGACTTGTGGAGTTGGACGGCAGCCCACCCGCCAAGTGTAATCTCCAAGCAGATGTAAGAACGGGGCTCATTCCCGTTGTCTGATCTGTATAGGCTTGTACAAAACCTATTTCCTTACTTCATACACTTGAGCACTGTAGAAAAATTCATATTCCTAATGCGACTTGACAAACCTTCCATCGAAAAACATATCTGTTCCTTTATCTCAACTATAACAGAAAAGCGAGAAGCTGAATTTATATATAATTATGTAAAGATAGCTAGTTTTATTTTGTATGTATCTTTTCACCATGTCTTGTTTTGACCTGTACTTAGCCCAGTGTGGCAAAAATGTGCAATAAAGGTCGTCATTCATTCATTAAGATATAGAAAAGGGTAATGTTACAAAAACAGACCTAAACGGTCCTTACATCTGCTTGGAGATTATAACTCAGCTTTCTCCATGGGGAACGAAACTGTAATTGAAGTTTACAGTTTATACTATTCAGTATACAATTTATACTGAATTCTAGACTTCAGTATAAATGTACGTACAGTACAAATCTCTAGACTGATATATAATAAAGGATAACGGGTGGTCTAACAAAAAAAAACTGCCGAAAGCTAAGGAACTGTCCGGGCCACTTCCACTGACCGCAACTGACACAGAACTTCCTCTTCCTGTGATGTATCAACCCCCCCCCCCCCCCCAATGGCCGTGGGTTAGGGGGGTATGTCGGACAAGGGTTCGAACAAGGCTCAAAGGTCCACTTTTTGGTCCACTTTTTATCTAAAGGTCCAAGATTTTTCTTTAAAAGATGGACTGATTCGTATCATATATCACCAGTCGGGCTGGAATCATAGAAAAACTGCTTACTTTGTCATTGACTAAAAAGTTATCTCTGATTTTTCCTTTGAAATCCTCTCAAAATCGCAGGACATAACATT